CAATTACCCCTACCTAGTAAGTTCTGGACATGAGTGGCGGCATGCAGATGCCATAGGACTGTGCGCTTGATAATGGCTTAAATGGTCAATCTGGTGTGTTTTGCGACATCACACTGAGGTGGGGGTGCTGTGGAAGTCCCATACCTGGATTTGACTCCTACAGAATAAGGCAGAGGGACATATTTCTTTTAAAATGCAACATATAAAACCCTAAAACTTTCAGAAAAATGTGGAATATTTCTGACATTTAGAGCTAGGAACACATTCCCGGACACAACACCAAAAACATGGCATATAAATGGGAAGCTTGATCAACTAGACATCATTATGATTAAGAATCCCCCTGCAAAAGCCCATGTGAAGAGAATGAAGACAGACTGCAGAGCAGGATAAGATACCTAGCGCTGGTGAGATGGCTCAGTGGTCTAAAGCACCTACTTAGAACAAGCTTAGCAAACACAGGGACCGCGGTTCAATCCCCAGCACCACATGCCAGCCAGCCCGCCCCCTGGTGGGCTGAGCTGGCCACACACACACATAAATAAATAAAATTTTTTTAAATAAAGGATAAGATACCTAGACACACAGATGATAATGAAAGCTCAACAGTGAAAGAGCTGCACAACTCAGTGAGAAAATACACAAAAAATCCAAACTGATACCGCACCAGTATACATATGACAAAGAATCTCATGAAAATATATAAAATGCTGTATCAGAGAAATGTAAATTGAAACCACAGTGAACTATCACTAAACACCCGATAGCTAAATGAAAAATACTGGTAACACCCAATGCTGGTGAGCACACAGAGAAACTGAGGCACATACAGATATTGCTAGTGAATATAAAATGGTACCTGCACTTCAGAGAATAGTGGGCAGTTTCTTACGAAACCAAAACGCAGCACCAACACGGCTTAGCAAGGGCCCAGTTGTGCATTTATTCCAGAGAAACGGACGTTAATGTTCAGGCTGGGAGTGGTGACGCACACCTGTTATCCCAGACCTCAGGAGGCTGAGGCAGCCTGGGCTACAAAAGTGAGCTCAAGGCCAGCCTGAGCTGCATAGCAAGAGCCTGTCTCGAAGAGAGAGGGGAAAAAAGTGTTCACACGAAGCCTACCTAAGAATGGTCCTCACACGAAGCCTACCTAAGAATGGTGGCGTAGTTGGTGACCCTGACTCTTGCCACCTGCCCCTCTGTCCCTGGGAGAACCAGCGATGGCTCCAATCTGCACACTGCAGCCTGCAGTTGGGCGCTTCCTCCTGGACACATGACGCACACTAGCCCTGCGCCCAGAGTACGTGGGACCTGGAGTGTGCTGACCCAGGGGCTGCGTTCTTGGGGCCAGTCGCGTTCCCCTCTGTTGGGAGCTGAGCCCGGCCCAGAAGCGCTCACCTCGGGCCCTCCAACCCTTGGAAAAACAAGCGGAAGGAGTCCGACCCCATATCAAGAGATAGGTGACAGTGGAATCCATTAGCCAGCCATGCAGAGGAACCAAGTGCCCTGTGCATCATGCTAAGTGACAGAGCAGGAAGAGAAGCATTTCTACACCGACCCCAGACTGGGACGATCACACGACAGTGCACTGGTCAGTGGCCACCAGGGCCTTGGGGAGGGGATGTGGGGAGCACAGGTAGGACGGTCCCCTCTGGGGCTTTGGGACCAGAGCAAAGGGACAGCCCCCCGTCATGCCTGCACTCCCATGCTCTGGAACTACTCACTTTAAAATCAGTGTTATAGAACATGTATTTTACTTCAGTAAGAATTTTTTTAAGTCAGTTGGTGACTAGAACAACCCCACGCACTAATCCAGGACTCTTGTCCTTCACGCCTGTGAGGGTGACCATCTGGATCCTGCTGGCAGGGGAGGGTGATCAAGGGGAACACTGTGGCAGTCGACCTCACCACCAGGGCAGAATGAGGTGGGGCACATCCTACTGCCTCTCCTCGCGGAGTGTACCAGACTTTTCTAGAGAAACAGGATACGTACACTACAGATCCAGGGAAGGGCTTTGTTAGGGACTTGGCTCTATAGTGCTGAAGTTACTGTGTCCTGCTACCTGCAGGCCAGGCCCCAGGAGGCCGGGGCTCTCACAGGCTGGAGACCCAGGAACTCTGATACCAACGGCAGGCAGGAGCAGGAGGACAAATTCACACTTCTCTGCGCTTCTGTTCTCTCTGGGCCCTGAGCGTGTTGGATGATGCCAGCCACATTCACGGAGACAAATTACCTGAACTCAGTCCCCACCTCAAATGCTCATCTTTCCCAGGAACACCCTCATGGACACCCCCAGAAATTATGCCATCCCCCACTGTCTGGTATTCCTGAAATGGGTCAGTTTGGTGTCCACAGGGGATCCTCACACCGGGGGTGATGTGTGTGTACACTTTAATTCATCTTTCTTTCTCTCATTCCCCTTCTAATAAAGGGTGGGAGTGCTATGCTTTGAGGTCACATGTCACCTCTGCACAGGAGAGAAGCAGCTCTGGCCAGTAGATTCTGGTGCCGAGCTGGAGGTCTTGGTGTGGAGAAGGACACACAAGCCCTCACTTCCCTTCCTCAAGAGCCTGAGACTGGTCCTACTGTGTGCTGCACAGGCCCGGATTGGGCCTGTCCTGGGACCAGGACAGCCTGTGGCACCCAGCAGTGGGGGTGGCAGTCCTGTGAACTCTGCCAGTTCAAAGTGGACAGTGTGACTCGAGGACACACTCTGGGTCAGATCTGCCAGCCAGACACACCCAGGCGAGTGGAGCACAGGGCAGCTGTGGCACCCAGACCTGGCACGCTGCAGGGGTGTTAGTGTGGGTGCAGCAGACGGCTTCCTGGGTGCAGCGCCTGGGCCCTTGGTTCTCACCGCCTGGCAGCTGTACCCCTGGACCAGGTCCTGAAGGGTCGTTCAGGGTTTGGCGGTTCCTGGCTAGACCTTGGGTCCTGAAGTTTTAGCCAGTGTCTTCTCAATGGTAGCTAGCAGCCAAGTAGGCCTGCTTCTCCTGAAAGAAACCATGTGCCCAGCTCAGAGCTGTGGGGCTGAGAGACCATGGCCTTGGGGCCTGGTGGACCTGGGCTCAAGTCCTGGCTCTACTACTTTCTGCCACGTGTATGGCTTTCCTTCTCTGACCTCCATGTCCTCAGGATCCCACATGCAGGCTGCAGCTATGGGGACAGACTGGGCTGCAGGGCTCTCTGGAGCCCTCTCCAGCGGGACTGGGATGGAGCGAGAAGCTGAGAACCAAGGCAGGGGAGGAGGCCCCATCCCTCCGATCCTCAGCCCGGGGCTATGGTCTGTGGGGATCACAAGCATTGGGGTGCCGCCCTTGATACTCATTGCTGCCCTGCCATGACTTTAGGAGACAGCATCCTAGCCTGCACACTGGCAGCCTGGTGCCTTGGGACTCCGGGCCTACCACTGGACAGGAGATGACATCCCTGGGACCCCAGCACAGCTCTTCCAGCCGCAGCTCTCCACACTTCGGAGAGTGGGGCTTGCCGTGGAGCTTTCAGGGATGAACTCCAGGCACAGAATCACGTCACTGCACCCTTCTGCCCCTTCGCTTTGGTCCCTCAGAGGCCACCAACAGCAACCTGGAGACACGAGGAAAAGCCATCTGAGCAGAGTTCTACACCAAACATGGCTGCCCTGAAGCCTTGGCCTGAGCCAGGGTGCACCCAGACTGCCTCTTGCAGCAGCCATAGCTCTGGAGAGCTCAGCCAATGCCATTCCTGAAGAAGCCATTCCTGTCCCAGGTCCTGGTGCTCATGGGAATCCCCCCTGCAGGCCCCTGGCTGCCCTCCCACTGCCTGAACCTCAGCTCCGCGCTCTGAGGCTCCCCAATGCCCTGCCTCCCCCGATAAGAGGGACTGAGCTCTGTGGATGCTCTGTGAGGGCTGCACCCTCCAGCTGCAGCCACTGCCCATGCTCAGGGCAACAGGAGGTAAAGAGGTGGGGCCGAGGGACAGGCCTGGCACCGACTTTATCCCCTCCCACCTCTCCTCACACCCTACCGTCCCACGCCTGAGCTGTGGGGCAGCCTCACAAGGTCCACCTGCGCACTGCCTGTCCCCAAGCTCTGTGCAGGGGACACACATGCTGGCCAGGGAGCTGAGGGGCGGGCCCAGACCCCAGACCCGCAGCTGGTGCAATCAGCTGGAGAGCTAGCCAAGCCCTTCTCCCTGGCTCTGGAGAGCAGGTGTGGTGCCTCAGCCCCCTCGTTCCTACTGGTGCTCACTCACTTTTCTAAAGGAATCAAAGCTGGCAGAGCGAGAATGCCATCCACACAGGGCTGCACGTTCCGCCACGGTTTCCAGCAGCGCCCTGGCTGGAAAGGAGCCCGAGATGAGGTGCACCCTTGCACCAGGGACAGGGACAGGGCCTCCCAGGACAGGTGGCTGCGCCACCTCCAGTCCCAGTAACCATCCTGACAATGACCAGCAGCCTGCACCCCACTCCCTACCCCATCTGGGCTACGCATGGAACAGGGAGCCCAGCCCTGGGGACAGGGAGTCGCCCAGCTCCCCCATTCTACCCTGGCCTCTGTCTGCTAAGGGTGTCCTTCAGACCTGGACTCCCTCAAGGCTGTCCTGCCTCTGAGGAGAGCCAGGTGCCAGGGATGGGTTGGGGAGCTCCAAGGTTCCTGCCCACAGCCCATGAAACGAGATCAAATTTTTAGAAAAAAACTCTAAAGAGCTTCAGGCGCTGAGGCCAGAGGAAGGACCAAGCACGTAGGAGAGGAGGGGACCTGGGAACACCACCAGAGCGCAGAGATCAAGGGGTGCAGGGGAGAAAAGTCTCCATTAAAGGGGAGCCTGCAGGTTGCTGGAACCCTAGCCTGGGCTCCATGGGTGGCAGGGCCACCATGTTCCTTCCTTCCTGGGGCCCGGAGGACACAGGTGCCTGGGGTTGCAGGCACCCTCTGCACCCCACCCCCAACAACTGCCAGCACCACGGAGCCCGGGACAGGTCTGCAAACCACTCAGGTACCTTGGGCATGCCCACGTCTGTAGAGAATAAAGTGCTTTGTTTATTGATGATTAAAATGTCCCCAGCCCCCTGCCCCAGCGCTGAGGGTCCAGAGTCCCCGGGCTCAGACCTCTTCCCACACCTGCTGTGCCTGGAAGGTGGTAGTGGGGGGAGGTGGGGTGTAAGGTGCAAAGAGTATAACAAACAAAACTTCATGGACATGACAGGAAGAGCTTAGCTAGGGAGATGTGTAGCTTGTGGAACCTTCTCGCCCTTCTCGGCAGGAATGAAGACGTTAAATGACAACAGAAAAGGCTATCCTATTAGTGCTGGCCTCCAGGGGTCAGCCCTGCCCGCAGGCTGGACTCCGCCCTCCCGGGGCCTGGACATGCAGCTCCCCCGCAGAGAGGGTGTGGGCACTGCCCTGTCCCTCTGGAGAGGCCTGGAAGGGATGGGGCGGAGGCCCGGCGCGGGGGGGCGGGGTGCAGCCTCTGCGGCTGGAGAAGGCCAGGTGCTCTGTGCGCAGCTGCACCACCCGCCCTACGGTAGCACCTAGGATCCCTGCAGGCTCCCCCAGCCTCCTGCTGGGCCTTGCCCCTGAGGTCGCAGCAGTCCTAGCGCTGGGGGAGCCACGCATTTGCCGCCCAGGATGTGGCTGCTGTACAGAGGCCAGCAACCTCTGGGGCCCTCACGGCAGTGGGCACAGGCTGAGGACCCCTCTGCCAGATGGCAGGGCTGTCATGGAGCAGGGTAAACCCTTGGGGGCCAGCCCCATCTGCCCCGCTCAACAGAGCTAGCGACACTTCTGGCCCCACAGCCCCAGGATCCAGCTCCAGCCCTGCCTCTGTGTCCACGGCCCTCTAATCAGCCCACATTTCCTCCAGTTGGCTGGACTTCCGACTCCCCCAGAGCCTGCAGGAGCAGTGGAAAGGCAGGGCACATGGGCTGCCCCAGGCCCCTGGTCTCCCCAGCTGCAGCCAACAGCACCTCTGACCCGGAGAGCTGCTGCAAACCCCCTCCACTTCCAAAAATAAAAATTGAACAAAGGAGTCGAGGCTTCCAGGAGCGGTGGAGAGGGCGTGGGAGGCCCAGGGGCCCAGGTGGCCTGGTCTCAGTGGTGTGTGCCAGGCCCTGTGGGGAAGGGAGGCGGGCCCAGCCCTGGGCCCTGCGTGGAGGCAGCAGCAGGCAGGCTCACGCGGAAGCATTTCTCTTTGTGCGCCTTGAGCATGTTGGAGAAGCGGAAGCGCTGGCCGCACACGTCGCACGGGTAGGGCTTCTCCCCGGTGTGCGTGCGCCGGTGCCGCTTCATGTTGGGCCGGCTGGTGAAGCTCTTGCCGCAGATCTCGCAGATGTACGGCTTCTCCCCTGCGGGTGGGGGCGGGGTCACGCGCGGCCCTGGGGGTGGCCGCATCCCGCCCAGGCTCCCCTGGTCCCGCAGAGCAGGGTGGCCGCGGCCCTCACCCGTGTGCGTCTTCATGTGCTCGTCGAAGTACTGCTTCATGTTGAAATCCTTGCCGCACCACTGGCACATGAACTGCTTGTGCCCGATGTGGATGCTCATGTGGGAGCGCAGCTGGTACTTGTACTGGAAGCGCTCGCTGCAGTTCTGGGGGGCGGGGGTCTCAGTCAGCGAGGAGCGAGGAGCGAGAGGGAGAATTAGGACCAGGGCTCCAGGTTAGGGTTCAGGAATCGAGTTAGAATGGAAAATCTAGAGTTAGGGAACTGGGGCTGGGGGGTGGGTAGAGCTAAGGGGTTGGTTGGGGTTAGGGGGTTAGGATCCAAGGATTAGGGTTGTAGTTAGGGGGTTAGGAGTAGAGTTAGAGCCAGGGGTTGGGGGTAGGTTTAGGGTTAGGGTTAGGTGGCATAGGATGTTAGCATTCGGGGTCAGGGATGGGGATTTACAGTTAGGGCCAGTAAGTCAGGACTAGGGGATCAGAGGCTAGGGTTGGGTGAGAGCTACTGTGGGTGAGGACAGGCTGCAGGCAGCAAGAGACGTTCCAGGGCTGAGAGGTCTTTTGGTCCCCACCTTTCTGCCTCCATCTCTGCCTCCCCACCCCCACCCCTCAGAATCTGCCCTGCCCTATCCAGGCACAGCTCACCCAGATGCCCCACCTGGTGGGGACACCCCTCGCGTCTACACAGGTGAGGAGCTGGCCATGAGCGCCGGGCCCGCCTCTGTAGCTGCACTGAACCCCCGCAGGCAAGGCCGTAGGGTTACCTCACACCGAAAGGGCTTCTCCCCTGAGTGCTGCAGCGAGTGCACTTTGAGAGACATACTTCGCTTGAAGGACTTCCCGCAGGTCTCACAGGTGAAGGGCATGTCCTTGGTGTGGGCTGCGGGGGGGGGGCACCATTGTCATCACAGCTGGTCAATACCTGCCCATGCCCCCTGTGGGTCCAGACCCCACTGGGGACAGCCTAGGGACACTGTCCTTCTCTGGAGGATGACCGTGGCACCGGGTCCAAGGCCAGCATTTTCACAGCACTTGGGTCATCATGGCGGAGCCCCTGGGGACCCATACAGCTGTCCAGCAGCGGCTGCACTCCCACCCATGGCAAGTGGACCCAGGAGAGACTCAGAGACGTGGAGAACCCAGCCACCTTGGAGTAGACAATGGCCCTGGTTTACCCAACATACACCTGGCTCATCCATATAGCAGGGGCAGCTGTTCTCCCCATGGGGAGGGTGGTAGGGCCTGGCCAATCCCTGACATCCACCTTTGACACCCCTCTGTCAAGTTTTAGCCCAAACTAGGCAAGGATAGAACACCATATACCCAACCAGTGTGGCATCTGCCTAGGGACTCCTGTGTGCAGAAATGACCCAGCTGTCTTGAGAGGGCAGGAAGGAGAGAATCAGAGGCACAGAGAAGGTGGGGTCACCCCAGTCATGACACAGGGCCAATCTGGCCCCAAAGCCTGGCAGCCCACACCCAACGCCCCAGGCCCAAGGGGCCTTCCCCTCCCTTCCTGTCGCCCTGGACGTAAGTCTCCAGCCGTCTGCCTGCAGGGGCATCTTGCCTGGCTGCCCAGGCCCCGACTTACCCACCATGTGCTTGCGCACGTGGGCCATGGTGTAGAACTTCTTCTCACAGATCTCACAGGAGAACTTCTTCTCTGCATAGCCGTGCACAATCTTGTTGTGCTCGTGAAGGGACCACAGTTTCTTGAAGGCTTTCCCACATGTCACACACTGCAGGGCAACATGGCTGTGTGACTTCAAACAAGCCACTGTCTCTCCCTGACCCGTTTCCCCACTTCATCTGTGTGCTGAGAGGCCCTTGATGTCCATGGAGCTGGGGATGGTGACTCACTGGACGCCTGGACACTCAGGTGGCCCAGCCCCTCCTTCCTTCTTCCCTGAAGAGGGCACGCAGGTGGCCCACGGCAAGCATAGTCCATGGGGCCTGACAATGTGGACAGCCCCAAGGGATGGCTCCAGGGGCATGGCTGGGCCTACAGTGGGGTGGGTGCAGGACCTGTTCCTCCCATCCCGGTTCTGCCAGGCCCTGCAGGATCCCACAAGGACTGGCTTGGCAGAGGCTGGGTCAGGACATCTAGCTGGGACCTGAGCAAGTTCTCCCCTTATGGGCATGTGTCAGGAAGAGGCAGTTGGCAGCCCTAGTGGACAAGAGGAACAGGACAGTCTGGGTGACTGGGATGCCCCAGGCCACGGGGTGCCTTGTGAGCAATTAGCTCAGGCAATTATCACCCACCCACCTGCACCTTGCCTTCGCTCCCAGCCCAGGAAGCAGGCTGGCGCACTTTCACCGCTGGCCCATAGCAGGGAGCCAAGGCTCTTCTGCCTCTTCCCTAATGCCTCATCCTGCCCCTCACTCCTGGGCCAGGAAGCCTGGCCTCTCCAAGGAGCTGAACACTCTGTGCTTCACAACATCTTTTCAGGGAATGAAAAGTGGCTTCCGTGCTGGGCAAAGCTCTCTCCTCCTCCCATGAAGCTGTGCTGGGTGGTGCTTCTGTCCCCCAGCAGGCCTAGTGCTGGCCAAGCCCTGCCTGTCTCCAGCAGTCCCACTCCCACCACCCATCGAGCCAAGGCCTCTCTGTGCCTGTGGCTGCCCCAAGAAGCGCCCTGAGGCCAACTGCAGAGCCCGCTGGGCGCCCACCTGGATGTTGCGCTCGCAGTCCGTCTGCCGGTGTAGCACCAGCTCGCTCTCTAGCAGGAAGCGCTTGCCGCACTGGTCACAGATCTGCATGCGGCTGTGCGTCACGTTCATGTGCTTCTCCAAGTACCAGCGGTTGTTGAAGACCCGGGGACACTTTTGGCATGGATGATGCTGCTTCTCCTCTAGCTTCACCTTGGCCCCTATCCCTTCTGCAGCTGAAGGTGCGTGGGCCAGGGCGCTAGCCACCCCAGGGGGCTTTGGCCGCTTTCCACGCCGCCCAGCCTGCTCAGGCTCAGAGGCAGCCCGACGCCGTGTGCTCTCCCGGGAGCGTGTGGCCATGCGACCGTGAGGAGTTGGGTCCGCCTGGCCAGCCTGACACCCCCCAGGCCCTGCCGAGCCCTGCCTGCTGGTGGGCTCCCCTTCCTCTTCCCCTTCCTCCTCCTCTTCCTCCTCCTCCTCTGAACTCTCAGGGTCCTGCTCGCTGTGCCCTTCCTCCTCCTCCTCCTCTTCCTCCTCCTGCTCCTCACTCTGCCCCCCCTCCTCCTGCTCCTGCTCCTCCTCCTCCTCTCCCTGACTGCCACCCGCCTCTTCCTCCTGTGCTCCACTGCCCCCCTCTTCTCCTTCCTCCTCCTCCTCCTCGTCCTCCGAGTGTTGCTGTAACCCATCCTCCCTGCCCAGCACCACAGTGGCTGCGCTGGCCCCCGTCCCCGGCTTTCCCTCCGGCCCTGTGGACACATGCAGCGTCTGGTTGTTGAGGTTGACCTCCACAATGATCTGGGACTGCTCCTGGTGGCCGTAGGTCCCTGGGGCGCCCAGCGCATCTTCCATCTCCTCGCCCCCCTCCAGCTTGCACACCCCACCAGCCTCCCCCACACTGGCCTCCTTCTCCTCCTTGAAGAAGGGCTGGGCAGGCCCCATGGTGGCTGGCACTGTGTCCCCAGCAGTACCTGCCCCATCCTCCACACGTACAGAGTAGGGGTCAGGGCCCTCGCGGGCATAGATCTTGGGCAGGCCAGGGGCATCAGCCTCCTGCTTGATGTCACAGTAGTAGGGTGGTGTGGCTGGGGTGCAACTGCTGGCTGGCGGAGCCAGTGCCACAGCAGCGCTGGGACCTGGTGGGCCCAGGGAGCGGGCGTCCAGCAGCTCCTGGCAGGATGCAGCGATGTCGGCCATCTGCAGCAGCGAGGCAGCGCTGAGCACCTCGTGCACGTTGGCGGCGTTGACCAGCAGCTTGGACGTGTAGATGAAGTTGAGAATCTGCTGCAGGCCACCAGGTGCCAGAGCCTCCAGGGACAGCTCGACGCGCTGCAGCTGCTTGTTCTGCGTGAAGAGCGAGTGGAAGAACTGGCTGTAGGCGGCCAGCACGCCCTTGTGGGCAGGGAAGACGCTGTGCTGCGGCACTAGCACCAGGTCCACGTCGCACAGGTCGGGCTGAAACAGGCGCTGCTCGTTGAGGCGGCCCATCAAGCAGGCAAAGTGCAGGGCCACGTCCTCCACCAGCGAGAACTCGGCCGCCGGGGAGTCGGTCTTCTCAACCAGCAGCTGTTGGGTGCACAGGGGCTTAGGGTCTTGGCGGCACCTCTGGACGCCTCCCAGCCCTCCCCATAGGGGCAAGGAGGTAGATGGAGTTCCAGCCCACGACCCTGCCCCTTGGGAGCCGGTTCGTCCACTTTCCTGGACCTCAGCTCTCCCTCTGTGACTGGCAAGGTCACCCTCCAGGGGAAGCAGGCAGGAAGGCCAGGGAGGGGCCAGGGCCGTGGCGCCCATGCAGGGAGCACGGAGTGCTCCAGGAGGATCCTGCTAGCATGCCTGTCCCTTCCTCCTGCACCCCATTCCCCACAGGTCCTGGGTCCCACCAACTTGAGTCTGGCTCCCTCTCTGGCTCCCTCCCTCGCTCCCCACCTGCCAGGCAGTAACAAAGGGATTCCTCACCTCCCAGCAGCCAGGGTCACAGAAGGGGAGGCCTTTGTGAGGAGGCCAGGCCTAGGCCCAAGCTCCCCACCCTAGTCCTGCAGCCCACAGCCATTACCACTTGGCCAGAGACCGCCTGTGGCCCCAGGCCCAGCCCCGGGGGATCTCTACACAGGGGCAGGTGAAGGGAAGTATATGTCATCTGTGTCACTTGCTTGCAGGCAGAAGCCCTGGCCCCATCTTGAGGGCCTCTACCTGAGGAGCTCCAACTCTTGGTCCCTGCAAATTTACAGAACGACATGCAGGCCTGGCTAAACACAGTGGGCTCCCCGGGTAGGCCGTGGACAGGCAGCCTGCCCAAGCTGCGACACGTCCTGCACACCGTCCTGACCCATGGCCTGGTGGCCGGGCCCCTCAAGTGTGCACCGCAGCCACGAGCCTAGTCCCAGCCCCAGCCCCAGCCCCAAACTCGCTATCCCATGCCAGTCCTCCCTTGGAGTGGGCAGCAGTGGGCAGTGACTGCTGAGCTTGAGTCCTAGGTCCCTGCCTGAGAGCCTGCCTCAGGGTAAACCTCAGAGAGCCACAAGCAGCCACCTGCCCTGCACAGCCAGCAGGAAGACACCCCCTCCTGTAGGCACGCCATGACTCCAGGATGGCCAGGCCCTGCTGTGGGTGTCCTCTTCCTGGGGACCCTCTACATCTGTCCCCCAAACCTGAAGCCACCATCTATTCCTGTCCTGAAGCTGCTGGCCACCCAGGCTGGGCCAACATAACTAGGATGTGGCACCAGGCCCCTCCCATCCCCTCTAACTCACTCTGCTTTATCCGGTGGGCCCAACCTCCTCCGGGGCAAGACAGGGAAATCAAGGCTCAGAATGAGGAGGTCCTCAGTCTAGAGTGTGGCCTCCTAGCTGTTAGGGCTGCCCCTTCCTGCTGGGCTGGACACAGCTCCATGTGGCTGGATTTCAGAGCCTGGATGACTTGCAAAGCAGGAAGCTGCTGGGGGGGGGCGGGGGAGGGAGTTGCAGGGGTGCCCAAGATCCCTACCACCCACAGGTCCTCAGTGGAGGGGTCAGGGTGCAACCTAGGTTCTCCCCATGGCCCCGGAAGGTCTCAGGATGGACAGAGAGGTGGGAGAGAAGTGGCCTGGATAAGGGCTCCCAGGTCGTCAAGGTCAGATGCCTGGCCACGCCAAATGGCAGTCCCCAAATGGCAGCCCCTCTGCCAGACACAGTGCCCCCTTCACAGTGCCACCAGCTGTGCTGGCCACCACAGCCAGATGTCCCACTGCTTGAAGCTGGGGATGCCCCTCCCCATGAGGCCATGCCAGCTGCAGCCACACACCCATCCTGGCCCAGCCCCATGTCTGGCTACTATGGTACAGCAGGAGCTGGGCTGGCCCTCCTGTCAAGCCCTCAGGCCATCTGCTCTTTGGCCAAGTGTGTCTGTGTGGGGTCACGTGTGGAGGCAGAAACACCCTATACCTGAGACACCTGCCTCACCCAGAAGGCCCGGGGATGAACCCTGGCACCTACCGCGCCGCTCCTCCCGTGCCAGTGCCCCCCCAGCCCCCCCACCCCCCGCGCCTGGATGCGCACTTGCACCCGAAGCCAGCTTGGGCACCAGCTCCTGCTCTCAAGGTACCTCCTCTCTGGACAAGGTCGGTGCCAACTCCTGCCCCCGCCTCTGTTCCCTCCTCGGGACAGACCAGAGAGGCCGGGGGCCGCCCAAGGTCACTCCGCAGCTCGCGCCCGGCCCTCAGCCCCCTCCCGGATCCAGGACCGAGCGTGCGGCGCCCACGTGGCCGAGGCCGGCGGCACCCGACCCCTCCCTGCCACCCCGGCCCGGGGAGAGCGGACCGCGGCCTGGTGCCGGCGCCCCCACCCCAGGAATTCAACCCGCGAGCCCGGGGCGGGGAAGCGCTCCGCTGGGGACCGGGCGTCCGGACTGGAAGGGGGCGAGGGCGCCCCGGCCGTGCGCTCGCAGGCGGGGCCGCGGTGATCGGGAGGCCGGGAAGGGGAGACGCGGGGCTCGCGTACCATGGTGCCGCGGCGCGGGGGGCTCACAGGGCCCCACGGGATGGCGCTGCGCCCGGC